ACTGAAAATTTATAGTAGATTTAAAACATTTAATTATACATGCTACACTTAATTACTTACGACATATAGTCGTATAATGCAAATCGATATGTAATAATAATTTTAAATTATTACCGTATTCATGTAGCAGACAATGTATTAATTTGCCATTCGTCACAACCTTTTGTAGTTATAAGAACACGTGTTAACTTAGTTTCAAGTCATCAGAGCTGAAATTCGATGAGGAATATGAGGAAAGGGACTCTTCCATTGGGAATGTTAGCAGTCATCTAATTTACCAAATTAGACGAACATTTCATCAAGAAATAATTAGTTAAAGTAATGCCAGAATAACTATTACAAACCATCGATTTTCTAGCGAAATGCTATAATCTTGACGATATGAACGTGCTTATTGGGCGCCAAGATGAACCATTGGTGCATTTACCTGCCATGCAACTATTTATGCTTAATCACGATTTCGTTGTTTTTCCGCATTTTAGTCAATTACCAGACGATCAGTGACATTCAAAGCGTTTCCTGGCTTGTTAGTTCTGTATTTTTTACGTATCGAATTATACAAGTTTACTGTATTGACATCATAACACTTTATCACTGATAGACTAGGAATTCTCCAGGGAAGTGAAATTAACTTACACGTGGGTGCATTTATGTTTTGTATCCCATTTGCCAGGGAGTAATTCTGACCAAAAAAAACAAAAACAAAAAAAAACAAAAAAAACTTAGACATATAAACAGACAGAAGCGACACATACGAGAATAGTGTGGCTTAAAATAAAATGGACAGAAAAGTAAGACATTGTACAAACCCAGACCATAGACAAAAGATCTGTCTTTGGCCCACAACCTACTAAAGAATGTCCCCTTTGGATACACTACTATTATAATAGTGTATCCCCTCTGAATACACTATTATAATAGTAAGAATCTAACAACTTAGCATCCCCCACTCATATTCATTGATTTTATATTATACAGTAGTTATATATTACATTGTATGTTTTGTAAAATTAAATGAAGTAGAAAACATTAGGCCTAAAAATTGAACGATCATAAATCACAAACACAATAAAACACAATTATCACGCCCTCTAGTATGTTAAAAAGTACACTTTAAACGTTGGGGGCAGTATTTTCAAAGTTTATAATATTCCCGCTTCAAAGTGCTTTTGATATTTTTACATTTACCGTCCATATGCTTCGTGCAGGCAATTACACACGGGGGTGCCTTTTCTATTCAATCACATAGGCTAAGTTTATTCCGACTTACATATATCGGGTATTTTGTCAAGATACCAGAGTCCCGCTGGTGATTAGCCGGCAAAATAAAGCCTTTCAAAGAAGGCTGTGTTCTTTTGATTTGTGTATCTAAAGTGAAGTCCACGAGTATCCACGCGATTGTCGTGCGATTCATTGTAAAAACTACTAACGCTTAAACAAATCTGAAACTTTCAATATGAACGCACATACAACCAATAACAGTATGAATATCTAATGATATTTATATTTTCCATATGAATTTACATATTTAACACATGAGAACGTCGCTTTAAAACATTTTTACTTTGTTTACTAATCTTGCAACTGTTAGGAAGATTCTTTTTGGAGACTACAATTTTAAAGAGTCGCCTTACTGGTATCATTTTTATATCGTTAAAAGTATTCAGGCAATATTGATGACGTCATGATGCAAAATTGTCGCTTAATGGTAGGCCTATTAGTGTCTTAGACGTTATGAATATTGGACATACATATACCGCCATTATATATATA